CCCTGTGGTCCCCAGAGGCAGTGGACAAAGGCCCCAGCCCAAAGAGGGGTGTGCAGATGGGCCATTTGGAGGCCCACCGTGTCGTCCAGAGTGAAAAGAATGAAGCCGAGCTGAAGGGGGTGCCTGGCACGGGGTTCCCAGGGAGACCGGCCCGTCACTCGTCACTCCCTGTTCCCCGTTCAGCTTGTGGGACTCTCGCAGGCGTGGACCCGTTTGTGACCCTTCCACAGAGTTTTCACCAGCAGGTGGAGCTGGGATAGGGTGGGCACAGTCTCCTTTGTACATGACCGTGGGTGATCACAAGTGACCTACAAGGATGCAGAGGGACCAGTGACTGCATGGCTGGCTGGGAGGGGCTGAGTGACCACAAGTAACCCTGTGTGAGAGGACAACAGAGTGCGGGGAGTGTGGCCTGCAGCTGCCGGAAGGAGCCTGCCGCAGCAGGAGGCGCACAAGGACCACTGCTTCCCGAGGGCACGGCCCAGGCACCACTCTGAACAAGGTCGTTGGTGAGACGTGGCAGCAAGCCCTGACCCAGCTGAGGCTGTTCACTGCAGCGCTTGTGACACGTGCACATTTCGTGTGGCCCTCCGGGAGGTTCCATCTCACACATGCGTGTTCTAGCTCTCGTGCCTGGGGTCCCAGTGAGGGCTGCGGCCTGTGCGGCCTTCTCACCCTCCAGCCCTCAGACAAGTGGGAGGGCGCCCAGGAACAGGAGGGCCAGGGGGAGCAAGTCCTGGTGGGCAGCGCGCAGCTCTGGGCCGGCGTCTGGGGCTGGCTTCTGCAGGACTGCCAGGGCAGGGTCTTGCCAGCTCCCTGACTCTCCTGTCCTGCTCACACCCAACTCTACATGCAACGGAAAAACTGAAAACAAAAAAACCAACACAAACAAGATGGACCCAAGACACACTCTGCACGCAAGGGGAATGATTCTGACTGTGAGCCACTGCGTCAGGGCCCAGAGTGTGGCCAGGGCCAGGGCTCAGAGCGTGGCCAGGGCCAGGGCTCAGAGCGTGGCCAGGGCCAGGGCTCAGAGCGTGGCCAGGGCCAGGGCTCAGAGCGTGGCCAGGGCCAGGGCTCAGAGCGTGGCCAGGGCCAGGGCTCAGAGTGTGACCAGGGCCAGCGTCAGCCTGTGACCAGACTCCAGTTTCTCCTTGACCCGAAAAGGCTGTGTCCTTCCAGAACAGCCCACACCCTGTCCTGCCTGGGCCCCATGCTCACAGCGGTTCAGTGCTCCATGACCACCCAGCACAGGGACTAGTTACAGAAACTGCTGTCTGCCCCTGGCTCTCAGTGCAGGGAGCCTGCCAGCAATGTTCCTACAAGATTCATCAGCACCCTTAGCCCTGCCCGGGTCTGCCCTCCATCACCTTCCTGCGATGAGCGGAGTTCTGAGCAGTGCTTTGGCCCAGAGGATGGGAGGTGCTCAGCTGGACAAGGCCGTCAAAGAAACCCAGACTCAGGGTGGCGGAGTGATGCTGCCAGTGTCCCGCAGGGAGTGAGTCTGAACCAGCCCCCCTGGCTCCAATTCCTGGACCCTGCCCTCTGTGGGTAGGTTACCCAAGGGCAGCTATGGCATCCACATCTGCCATTCCCTCCACCAGAAACCACTCCTTTCCAGAGCTGGCCAGGCCACCAGTGATGGTGATAGCCACCAGAGCGCTTCCTAGACCTTGTGTTCCCTTCATTGTCTTGACATCTTTGTACAAGTCACAGATTGCCATCCTTCTTGACTTGTGACCAATGAAGCTAAAACCATCTCCTCTGCCACCTTCATCTGCCATCAGCGGCAGCATCATGCCCTAGTGGGAGGTGTGGGGCTGCAGAGGGTGGTGTTCACCTGCTGGGCACAGAGATGTGCCACCAAAGGTGGTGGTGATGGTTTTGTGGATGGAGTTGGAGCTGAAGCTGCAGACCTTGGTGGTGACTGGTGGTGGTGATGGTGGTGGTGATGGTGATCATGGTGATGATGTGATGGTGGTAGTGGTGATGGTGGTAGTGGTGTGATGGTGCTAGTGGTGGTGGTGGTGATGATGATGGTCATGATGGTGGTGGTGATCGTGGTGATGATGTGATGGTGGTGGTGGTGTGATGATGGTGCTAGTGGTGATCATGGTCATGGTGGTGGTGGTGGTGGTGATAGTGGTGGTGGTGATGGGCAGTGATTTTGGTGCTGCTGATGCCCACATTGGCAGCCATCATGATCTACATTGCTGATGGTGGTGCTTGTGTGTTAAAAATAAGGATGTCACCAGGTCACCCTGTCCCTCACTCCCACAGACTAGGAGCATCTGGAGGGTGGATGATGACTCGATGGATGGGAGGAAAGTGCATGGGGATGATGACTAGAGTCTCTGAGTCACCGGAGGGGGGGGGGGCTGACAGGGCCATGCCTTTCATCAGCACCCACAGTCCTGAGACCTGGAGGCAGCTCCTCCTCATCTGCCTTCCACCTGCTCGTCATCAACGCAATAGTGCCAGGAGGCAAGGGAGGCCCAAGAAGCCTGGGGTCCCGCCTGGAGTGGCCCTGCCGCTAGGCAGGTGGAGGCTCTTTCTGGAAGGGCCTTCGCACCATCCTGCCCCCACCTCCTGGCCCCGCCCAGAAGCAAACACAGCTGCTGTCAGGAAGTCCCTCCTCTAGTCTCACCTCCTGCTGCAGTGTGAGAGGCTGTTCTCAGTTCCCTGGGCTCCACCTTCCATCCCAAGGACCACTGTCCTAGCGCCACCACCCAAGGGGCACCCCCAACCTCTGCTGGCTCCTCCCACCTTCATTCAACATGATGGCCGGATCCTCCCGACTCCCACCTCCCCCGGCCCTGCTTCCCACAGGAGCTTGTTCCCAGAGACGAGCACATCCACAGTATGCTTTGTGCTCCAGGACTTGTTCCAGAACCTTCCATTGCTGGGAGTGCCCTTCCCAGCCGGGCTCCACCCAGCTCCAGCTCACTGTGACCTCCTGCTGAAACCAGGGGTGTGCCTGGGGCTCAGAGGCCTGGAGGGCTATCACCTCCCTGTGGCTTCCTGAGTGTCCTGCCACCGAGGGCTTCCCCTGATGTCCCTTCTAAAAAGCCCAGACACTGCCACCCACCCCTCTTCAGCCATCCCTCTGCCCTGAGAGGTGACAAGCAGCCCTTTCGGACAGATGTGAAGTCTGGGGCCCTGGTGGCATCTTGGATGGAGGCATGATTCGGAGGAGGCCCTGCCTGGAGCTGCCCACAGACCTGGAGCTCACAGGTCAGAGGCAGGGGGCACACAGCCCCCACAGCCCCCAACTAAACTCCCACTTATACTCCCTGCCAGTAGTCCAGGGCTTGGAGCCGCTACACAGAGGGGGTCCCTGGGGCCCCTCCCTGCAGATCCGTGGGTGGTGGTAGGGGTATTTCTGGCCCCTGCAGGACCCGGGGTATAGTGTTGCCCGTGTGTCCCTGTCCCCGGCCGGGTCTGCTCAGTGGCCACAGAGGCCCAAGGGTGGGTGAGTCCCTGGCATAAGGCAAACTGACTGCGGCCTCTGGACCCTGCTTTTTCGCAGCACGACTGACTGGCTAGAGCAGGGGTCCTTGGCCTCTCTCAAGCCCCTCCCCGGGCCTCAGTTTCCTGGGGGAGCAGGGCCGGGTGACCGCAATCCCTCTGGGGCCAGCAGTCTGTGTCTCTGCATTCCTCCAGGCGTGGGGAGCAGCAGGCTCCCCGAGTATTTTTTCAGGTCCTAAAAATAACCGGGGGGGGGGGGGGGCCTGCCAGCAGCGGCGGACGCGCGGTCCCTGCCCCGCCGGCGGAAGGCTCCATATAAGGCAGAGCCGCAGGCGGAGCCACGCCCACTCGCTGGCGTCAGCGCCCAGCTGTGCGTCTGCAGCGCCCCCTCTTCCTCGGGGGCTGCGTGCGAGGCCCGGGCTGGGCGGGGGCGGTGTCCCGGTCGCTGGACGCGGCTGTACCCGGAGCCCGCCTGGGGACAGCCGTCCTGAACCAGCGCCGAGGGTCCCGAACCCACAGCTGACACCCAGGGTTACCCGAGTAGAAACTTACATTAACAAGTGGCATCTTAGGATGAATTCAGACCCCTCCCCGATGGTGCAGGCAGGGCCTCCCCTGGACGGTAGTGTGGGCTCCTGCAGGCCCTCTCCTGGCACCCCCGGCACCCCAAGCCAGTGAGCAGGGACCCCAACTGGGGGTGGAGCCAGCCGCAGGGTGAGGGCGGATCCAGCCATGCGGGAAGGAGGAGGAGGTGTTGCTGGGCTCAGTATGGCTCTCTGGGAACACCATCTGGACCCCACCCAGGAAGGGGGTCGGGAGGCAGCACCCCCATCGGCTCCCTCCTCTCCATCACTGGGACTTCTTTGGAAAGCAGATGGTGGGTGGCGGAGGCCTAGAAGTAGGGGTTCTGCGACAGCGCGGCGGCCTGTGGCCTCCCGGCCCCTGTGCTGGTCATCCTGCACAGGCCCTGACCACCCCTGCCCTCCTAGGCCCTTCCCAGGCTCAGAGCCCTCGATCGATCGATCGATCGTAGAGGGGAAATGAGATGAGACATCAGCCCCCAGCAGAGGCCGGCGAGGGCAGATCCCCCAGGGTCTCAGGGCCGCACTCCTTATGTGAACGCGATCTGGGGGGGACAGGCATGGGCCGGGCGGCATTTCGAAAGCACCGCTCAGGCTGGGGGAGGGAAGGGCCAAGGAGGGGAGGCTGGGGGCCTGGACCAGGGCAGGCACTCGGGGGGTTCTGGACGCTAGGCAGGAGCAGTCACGGGCTCTGGTCAGGCCAGGGTGGGTGGGGAGGCCCCCAGGAACGAGCCCTAAAGCTCGGGCCCCGCGCCACTGGGCGAGTGTTTGGCTCGAGCTGGAGGACGGAGACACCCGAAGGGTTAGTCTGGGTCAGGAGGGGAGGCCTCCCGGGCTTCCCGTGGGGGGGACAGGCAGGCGCAGGGCAGGGAGAGCCCAGGGAGGCAGGGGAACTCTGTCGCATTTAATAGAGAATCACGGACCCGACGCGGCCCGGCCCGCGGAGCCGGCTCACTGGACCGAGTATTGGTACAGCTCCGTGACGTCGTCCAGGAAGCTCCTGTAGAACCGGCGGCAGGCGGAGTCCTGCTCCTGCCTGAGCACCTCGAACTCTGCAGCAGAGACGGGGCTGAGTGCAGGGCCGCTGCAGCCCAGCAGGGGGGGCACAGGCACCCCGCTGCCGCGCTCACGTTTCCTGAAGAACTTCACGTCGCCCTTCTTCAAGTAGAAGCAGAGGTTGGTGAAGTAGTCCTGCAGGATGCCCCCTGCACGGGAGGAAGGGGGGGGAGGCGACAGGAGACTGAGCCTGGCTGATGGAACCCACGGTCCACCCTGCGGGCCGCCCACCGGGCAGCGCGTGGAGCCTGACGGGCCCGTGGGTGGGAGCAAGGCCGCTGGGCTGGCCCCTACCGATGAACTTCATGGCCGTCAGCTTCAGGTTCTTGTGGGGGCTCCTCAGGTAGACAGAGGCCTGCATGAGAAACTGGTGACACCTGCCGAAGTTGCTCTCCACCTGGGGATGGGAGACGAGGTCGGTGGCCAGCCTGGAGGCCCGTGGCTCCTGACCTCTGGCACCTGGCTCTGCCACCCGGCAGTTCCCAGGCCTGAGAGGAGGAAAGCCATGACCCAGGTCTGCGTCCAGGGCCCAGAAGCTGGGTCCCTGGCAGGGGTGAGGCAGGGAGGGCTCTGCAGGGCTGGGTCCTTTCTTCTGCCCCGTCTTGGGTGGGAGCCTGGGTCAAGGGATCCAGGGCCTTCCTTGTCATCACCACACACACACACACATGTACACACACACACACTGCCCCAAATGTCTTCCAGGAAGTTGCCTCTGCCCCTGCCCCGCACGCCTGCTTCCCATTCTACCCTCAGCTTCAGCAACAGGTCCAGGGCCCGCCAGAGCCCCCAGCATGCAGGGAGGTCACTGGGCTGGGCAGCATGCAGGGTGTGGGCCCAGCTGTCTGCACCAGGAGCAGGACGACAAGGCTGGCCTGGCTCCTCCTGCTGGGAGTGTGCCCTGAGCACAGGAGGGCGCAGGGTGCCTGCCAGCTGTCATTTCTAAGAGGGGAGAGCTGGTCCAGAACAGGACAGCCTCAGGGCCAGGACAAGGCCACACTAAGGAGGGGACAGGGGTCAGAGGGGTGGGCTGAAGCAAGCTTTCCTGTGGCCACGTCCTCCGAGCCTTTTCAGGGTTACAAACCAGTTTGTTTTACTGTCCAAGCTTGTTTGGATTGGCTTGTCTGCCACTTGCAATTGCAAGAATCCTGAGTCCCCCGCCTCAGCCTCCAAGCCAGCTGCCCCCCACGCTCCCCAGAGAGGCCCTCGGGCCCACTGCCGGGTTTATGCGCAGCCAGGCTCATCCAGGGAGGAGCACTAACTCGCCATCCATGCCCAGCGCCCAGCCCACAATGGCTGTCCTCACTCTGGAAGCTCCCTGGCCAGCTGACCCTCGGAGCTACCTCTCTGCCCAAGCCGAGCAGGGCTCCCTGGTCCAGGTGCGCATTGCGGGTGGTCTCCCACCTGGCCTACCTGGGAGGCCAAGCCCACTGCTAAGAGCACATCCTCCCTAGAGGCACAGAGCAGGCACTCGGTCAACACCCGCAGGGCCCAGGCCCATGTCACTGAGGGCTCCTGCATCACCCCATCCCCATCTGGGTGTCCCTCATGAGCTCTGGGGGTGAGCCGATACCCAGAGGACCCTGACAGCACACGGCCTGTCTCCACCTCCCTGGCACCCCTGCCCCTCCTCTGGGAGGGCGTGGCCTCTTACCATGCACATAAAAATATCATTTTCAGCACCCAGGCCTTGGCCCCACGCCAACTTGCTGAACAGCTGCTTCCGGAACTCCCACTTGAGCAAGATGGCGCAGCGCAGGAAGGTGAGCTTGGTCTTCTGCAGGTGCCCAGAGAGCCTGGTCACCGCCCGCCCCCTCGCACCTGCCCTCCTGGGAAGGCTTCCCTCAGGAGAGCACCTGGACAAGGTGTCCCAGCGGGTCAGAGGTGCCTCGCAAACGCATGGCCTAGGAAGCCTGGGGGCCCGTGAGGTGGCTGGCAGCAACGGGGCCGCCCATAAACCTTTGCGGGAATTAAATGCAGCGCCTCTCCCTGGGCAAGTGTCCTGCAGCACATGGTGTGCGTCCAGCCCCCAATGCCAGGCTCCCAAGGCTAATTTTACACGTGTGTGGGGGCCACAGGCTGCTGGATGGGGTGGAGGAGAACCTGGAGGCGGGTGGAGCCGAGGAAACCGGCCCCCTAGATGGGTCCTCTCTCGCTCTCCATCTGCACATTTGCCCGTAGCACTGGCCTGGCCCTCCCTGTCCGGCCTCTCCAGGATGGTGGCCTCGCCCTGCTCTCCACTTACTGAGGCTGAGTCCTCCCGAGCTGTCCTCCCCTGCCCATTACCCAGGTCACCCCTGCACTGCCTGAAGGATGCTGTCCAGCCAGAGGCTCAGCTGGCCACTCACCATGACCACTTCGGGGCAGGAGTCAGCCAGGTGGAGGAGCAGCGGCACCAGGGACTGGAAGGCGTGGCTCTTGAGCCCCTGCTGGAACTTCCTGCCACCGCTGTGGATGACGTCTCCGTACAGGGAGATGGCTCCTCCACGCACGTCTTCCTGCTCCTGCGAGACACAGACGCCTCCCCTCAGCAGAGCAGCAAGCTAGAGCCCTCAACCCCAACACAGCCGCACCTGCGCTGGCCACACGCCCTGCCAGCCGCCGCCCCATCAATCCCCTTCCTTTCCAGCCCCGGGACTTGCGGTGGCCGGTACCTGCCCTCACATCCACCCCCGTTCAGTTCAGGGCCAGCAGACTTCACCCCTCTGCCCTGCTGACCCTGCTGTCCAGGTCGCACCCCAGCGCCCGGCAGCACAGCCTGTCACACTAGCCGCTGCCTTCCCTCCCGGTTGTCCCTGCCCCCTCGCCACCCCGGCCAGTGGCTGCAGCCTTCTCCAGGATTGGTCCCTTCTCCTTCTCCTTGGCTTCTCTGCTCTGATTTCTCCGGGGGCCTCAGGCTGACAGCAGCCTCACCTCCACTCAGGCCAGGATGGGGTGAGAGCACAGACCCTGGTCTGTCACTTTCCAGCCCTGTGACCCTGGGCAAGTGTGTGACTCAGTTTCACCTTTTGTGAAAAGGGGTCAACAACTGCCTATGTCCTTGGGTTGCAGTGAAGGCTGGATGCGGCTGTGTGCTACCACCCCGGCCCCACCTCCTCAGCCCTGGGGACCCCTTCATGAAGGGCAGCTCCACCTCTCCTCACCTCCAGGAACCTCAGCATCCGCCTCCCACCTGCCACCCCACTGGGGCTCCGCTTCCCACAGAGAGCCAGCAGCCCCGAGCCCCGCCTGCCTGCCCGCCTGCCCTGGTTTAACCCTCTCCACCCTGACCTCCCTCATTCAATTGGAGCCCCTGAGATCATTTACCCAGCCCCTGACTTGCCACCACCCCACCCGTTTTCTGCATGGCCGCCCAAGGGTCCTTCTAAAGACAACCTGCCGCCCTGCCCTCTCGCCGACACCAGCCACCCCCAGAACCCATGTCCTCTGGGTAAGGAGCGCACATGGCTTGGGAACGGCTTGCAAGGGCCCAGAGCCCTCGCGGAACCTTCCTTCCCGGGGACCAGGTTCCCACCGGGCTCGTCCACCAGGCACTTCACCCACACTCCCGGGGGGAGGGGCAGCAGCTTTGGCTGCCCTGATTGGCGGGCCGGGCGAGCTGCTGCGCAGGCGCGCGGGCGCTCACGTCCTCGAAGAGCGGCAGCAGGAGCTGGGCGATCTTGAGGCTGACGGCGCCGATGCCGTTGTGGCCCAGGCAGTGCAGGATGTCGCCCACGATCTCCATCAGGCCCACGAGGCTCTTGGGCTCGGGCTTCTGGAAGCTGTCCAGGAGCCCGGCCAGCCTGTTCCGGAGCAGGACCACCTGCAGGAGACAGCCGCCCGAGGTCCACCGGCACCGCCTCCGGCCCACCTGCTGCCGCCCCGTCACGGTCCCCAGCGGACCTCAGCCCCAGCCCCCGGCCCGCAGCATGAGGCACAGACATGTACTGGGAGGCCCGAGGGCGCGAGGAGCGAGGACGCCCCATCCGGCGAAGCCCGCGTCTTCCATGTCCTGGGTGGAGCATGACCCACGGCAGGGATGCCGGCAGGTAAGGGATTCCTACCTGGAAAGGGGGCCAGATCGGTGGCCTCAGAGCTCCCTCCAGCTCGGACCTTCCGGGATCCCCAGGCCTGTCCAGTGCAGCAGGGGCCTCCGGACACTTCGACTCTCTCCTGCCCCATCCACCCTTCCAGCCCGCCTGCGTGGAGGCTCGTTTCGATGCCCCTCCTCCCAGACTCGTCCGGCGTGGGCGTGGCCTCCCCTCGCACCTTCTGAGGCTCCATCAGGATGCTGCCGAGCCCCATCAGGCTCATGGCCCGCACCATCTGGTTGGAGTTGCTCAGGCCCAGGCTCAGGATGCTGTGTATGGCTTTCCGAGACATGTACTGGGTGACCTCTTGACTGTTGAGAAACTGAGTAGGTGGGTACAGTGAGCCCCCGGGTGAGCACAGCTGCCAGGGAAAACCCGCCTACAGCAGGCGCAGCAGGAGGTAGCGGGGTGAGATGTCGGAAGACCTTTCAGACAGCACAGGTCTGACGTGGAGGGCACAGACTGGATGCCTTTACAGTGGAGGGCAGCAATGGAAGTCCCGTTGTTTGACCTTCCTCCTCAGGGCCAGAGGGGGAGGGGAAGAAGGGGCTGACCTCTGTGATGATGAGGATGGCCACGATGTTCTCTCGTTCCTCAGAGCTCTTCAGGGCGATGATTGCCTGCCCCAGGGTGGCCTTGATCTCACAGTCATAGTGCACCATGGCCCTGTCGGTGGGGGAAGCCAGCCCAGGGGCCCTGAGGGCTCACTGAGTCTGAAGTGCAGGGTTCCAATGTGGGGTGTAGGAGGGCAGGGGTGTAGTCTGGGGCCAGGCCCCTCCCAGGCTTGGTGCGTACCTGGCCAAGAGAGTCACCCCCTCTGTGTAGGTTTCCAGGTGCTCAAAGAGCTCCCAGCCCCTCTGCAACTTGAGGTAGGCGAACACCTCCCAGTAGTTGGTGGTCCAGAAGAGACCCTTCAGGGCCTCCAGGCATGTGCTAGGGGCAAGTGGGGTGTTGGAGGTGAGGCAGGCAAGGAGCTCAGGTCTCCACCCAGAGCGGGAGGTGGCGCCAGCTTCCCCAGCCTACCGTCTCCCGTCTGGGCCTGGCTGTCACCTTCTGAGCTCCCCCTTCAGGATCCTGACTCCTGACCACTGTGGACTGCTCTGCCCCTGCTCCCCTCCCTGGACGGCAAGCCCTGGGTGGTGCCAGCGCTCACTCCTTTCCAGGTCCCCAGCACTTGGCCCAGGGCTGGGTGCCTACCAGGGTTCTGTGGATGTGTGGGAGGAGCCAGGCATCAAGGAGGGCTGGAGTGCTGGGAAGGGGCTGGGCGCAGTCACATGTCTCACCTGCAGGGGCCCAGGCGCTTCATGTCCAGGACGTCCTCCTGGGAGTCTGCCGCGTCCTTGACCATGCCCAGCTCAAACAGGTAGTACAGCTGCGTGAGCAGGCCCAGAAGGATCCCCGCAAAGGCCCAGCGCACTATGGCCTTGTACTCTTTGATGTAGAGGAGTTCGTAAATAGTGTCCAGGGCCTGCAGGGGTGACAGAGCAGGGCCCTGGCAGGGCACCACCCTTGGTCCCCTCACGGGGCCTGGCACCAGTGAGCAGAGGATCTAGGGGCAGCAGCCACAGGGCTGTCCTGTCACGAGGCCCCACTGCCTGTGGCTGGCTGGGCCGGGAGAGTCCCAGTGGCTCTGGCCCCACCCCGGGACTTACATCAAGAGCCTTGGCTACTCATGGTGAGACCCTCAGCCAGGGACCCTGGCATCGCACAGGGCCCTTGGATGACCCGGTGGGTGCAGGGGCGGCAGGTATGGGCTGCTCACCAGCACTGACACAAGCTCCACCTGCTCCGACAGCCTGATGAGCAGCTGGGGCGGCCGCAGCTTCAGCTTCACATACAGCAGGGTGATGACCTTGCGGGCCAGCTGGTTGTTGCTGGCCAGGGCCTTCCACAGGGGTACCACCTGCCTGGAGAGGCAGGGAGTCCGGTCCCCCCAGCCAGCTGCTGCACTGGGCAGAGGGGCTGGCGGGACATGGCCCCAGGAAAGCAGGATGTTAAAGGGCACCGTGAGCCCCTCCGTCTGGGGCTCTAAGAGGCTGTGTTCTGTTGACCAGCTGGGCCGGACCCCTGAGCGCAGGCTGGCTTCCCCTGACGAGGGCCTCGCTCCCGCTCTCACTGCCTTGCCGTGCGACCCCAAGTAAATCCGTCCTTCCCAGACTCTCCGCACTCAGAAAGTGGGCCTTACCCCAGCAGGGCTCACCCCTTGGGCTGCCTCAGAGGTGCCCACAGGTCTGCAAACCTGAGAACACCCCGTGACCCCAGGACAGGCCATGCTCCCTGAGATGTATCCAGAGGCACCGTGGTTCCCGCGCCTCTGAAACTGAACAGTGTCCACACACTACTCGGTCTGGTCAGGGTGCGTGTGACTCAGCAGGGCCAGCCGGCCAACACCGCCCTTCTAACGTGTTGCATGTTGTTGCTGGTCCTGGGTCTGCAGTCCATAGGCTGCAGCTCAGAAACACCCATACGGGTGGCTGGGACTGTGAGTGCCTGGGGCCTGGGGCAGTTGGCTGGAGATGATTGGAGGCCAGTTTGTGTCTTCATGTCCCCCAGTTGACCTCTGGACCCTCTGCAGGTTGATGTCTGGGGCTCCCTGAGTCTGAGGGACACTTCCACACTGCTTGGGCCTCCCCCACAACCCCCGTGGCCCTAGACACTTTCGAGGACCTCTGGTTGTGAAGTCTAGGAAGGGGGCACACTAGGCTGAAGTCGGTGCACACTCCGTCTTTCCAGGAGCAGAGTCTGTCCAGGCAGTGGCCATGGACTGGGAGGCGGACCATGAATGATGGCCAGGTGTTCACCTCGGGGTCATGCATTAGGTGACCTACCTCTCTGAGGGGTGGCACAGGGACAGCATCACCTCAACTGTCTCCTGGGTGTGCTGGGTCCCCAACACTGTTACCGCCTTCATCACGGTCTGCAGGATGTCCTTGAAGATGATGCAGGGTATCTCCCGGAACAGGCCCTGCAGGATCTCAGCCATCTGCTCAGGGAGGGGTGGTGGGAGAGGGCCTCAGAGCAGCCCTCCAGCTGGGGCCGGGGTCTGCCTCCTCCACACGGGCACCGGCCCGCCCCGTGTGACCCCTGCAGCGCGCACAGGGCCCAGTGAGGACGGCGGGTCGGAGCAGCTCGCGTCTCCCTGGCAGACCCTGGGAAACTAGTGTCCTTGTGGGCCTGGGACTAGACTGGCCAAGCCAGGCCGACAGTTAGATCCTGAGTGGAGCCGATTCTCTCTGTCCTGCTGGGTCCAGCCAGACAGGAGGGTGAAGAAGGGACCCTGGGGCGTCCCTGAGGCTCAGCCCCACTGGCAGGTAGGGCTGTCCACAGCCAGTGGCCAGGAGCCGCACCCACCACCTCCCGGGCTTGGGAGCCCCCATGGAGAGGTGAGGTGTGCTCGGACATGCAAGGGCAGCCCTGGGCGCCTGGCCACCCTGCTCTCCTGCAGCCCATGCCTTCCTGTGCAGGGAGGCACAGGGCACCTGCCGGAGTGGAAGGCCTTGGCGCCCGGCCCACCTGCTCCGCCTTGACACTGCCGTCCTCAAAGACCATCAGGAGGAGGTGAGAAGCCAGGTCGCAGCACACGTGGTTGGGGCTGCAGAGCCCATGCAGGAGGGTGAGGATGAGCATCGTGTGCTGGGCCACAGTCAGGTTCTCATCCAGGGCCTGCGCCGAAGGGCCTGGGCTGAGCGGCGAAGGCAGGCTCCCTGCTCAGCAGCCATCCAGGCTCGCCTGCGTGGGGCTTGGAGGGGGGGCCGGGAGGCGCTGCTCCAGCCCAGAGGCTGAAGGAACACCAGGTGCACAGCTTCACAGGGACCCCTGCCCCTGACAGGCGTTGGTGCCCGCCCAGCTGGCCTCAGCAGGCCACGGGCCACCGCCCGGGACTACAAGTGTAGCTGCTGAGGCTCTCGGTCCCCTTCTCTGGAGAACTGCTCTAGGGGTGACGGGAGCAAGCAGCTTTGCCCAGGCCCGGCACCCCGCCCCCCTGCAGACCACAGCCAGCGGCTGACTTGGGGCACCAAAGCCCAGCCTGGCCTCCAGGTGGGACCCGTCCCTGGTGGGTGCACCCGTGCTCTCCCCGTGGTCAGGCTCAGCCCACGCCTGCTCCGCTCCACCCCAGCTTGCTTCCCTCGCTCCCTCCTCCTGAGAACAGCCTTGTCCTGGGTCAGCTGCACTGAAACTCCTGCCCAGGCTGCTTCTAGGGGACCCTCCTGAGACAGCAGGTTTGTGAACCCAGGCCCCTGGGAAGGACTCCCGGGGACGTCCATCTGCTCTGGGGGGTCACTTCCTATCGCAGCCTGTCCTGAGAGTGCACTGGATGTCAGTCTCAGGGACCCTCACTTGGAAAATGGGGAAACTGAGGTACAGATAGGTTGCCTGACCTATCCAGGCCACCCAGCCAGTTAGGCACAGAGCTTGGACTCAGGGCCAAATCCTCAACTCCCGGTCCAGTGTGAGGGGCCGAGCTCGAGAGGAGCACGCGTGGGCACAGTGGACGGGGGGGAGGGACCTGCTGTTCTGCGCGCCTGGGACGGGAGTGCTGAGATCAGGGCAAACTGAGGCCGGTCTGCACCTAGTGAGGCGCACAGAGGGAGCCAGAGGGGAGGTTCTGGAGGTGTAGTGAGACCTCCGAATCTGCAGTTCCAGGGGACCCAGTCACACCTCCATGTTGGGGGTGGGGCAAGGGCAGGAGCATAAGGGGAGAGACCCCGGGAAGAGCATCAGGCTCTGGCTCTGCCTGACTTGGTCCCTCGCACAGGTTGTGTGAGGTCCCCACTGGCGGGCAGGTAGGTGGACCAGCTAGATGCCATACGCGTGGGCAGTTACGGAGCTTTATGGGAGCACCCAGCCAGCTCCCCCCCACCCCCAGCTCTTACAGGCCCCACCTGCACCAAATGGTAGAACTTCATCTCCGATTCTCTGAGGGTCCTTGCTTCAGAATTCTTCATTTTATTTAGATACGTGAACTCTTTCAGGCTCCCTGTGGTGGGAGGGTCAGTCAGGAGGCCTGCGCAGCCTGGGAGTGGCACCCTCCACTCCAGACCCCCAGCGAGGCCCTGAGGGCACCGGCCTCTGCCAGCCTCTGCCACCCCCCCTACTCCTAGCCCACCTTTCTGCCGGAGTAGGAGCTGGAGGAGGAGGCAGACACACTGGCAGGAGTGGTTCTTGGTGGCCTCGTCCTTGTCTCGCCATAGCAGCATCAGCAGGCCCACCTGGTGACCCAGCATGGAGGGCGTGGCGTCCTCCTGGGGAGGGTGGGCAGTGAGCAGAGCCAAGCCTAGCTTCTTGGCAGCATTTCCACGGTGCCCCCCAGCTTTTCAATGCTCTCAATCCACTCCTGTGCTCAGTGTCTTGTGGGCAAGGCACCGGCTCTTGTTCCAGCTCTAGGAAAGCCCTTCTTTCTGGTTCACTGATGTTCTTGGAGATATGGGTTTATCTTTTTCATCAAATTGAACATTTTCAGCCATTATATCTTTTTTTTTTTTTTTTTTATCCTCACCCGAGGATACTTTTCCATTCTTTGTACAGATAGAGTGGGAGGGAGAGAGAGAGAGAAACATCGACGTGAAGGGACACATCAAGTGACTGCCACCCGCACGACCAACCAGGGCCGGGGACAAACCGCAACCGAAGTACGCGCCCTTAGCGGGAACCGAACCCGGGTCTCTCCGGACCGCAGGCCGACGCTCTAACCGCTGAGCCAAACCGGCCAGGGCTCAGCCATTATATCTTGAACTGTTTCTGTCCTCATCCTCTCACCTCTGCTTGTGGGGCTCTGGTTGTACTTCACAGTGTTCCGTAAGACACAGGGACTTCCTTTCCCTCTGTATGCTTCAGTTTTAAGAGGTTCAATCGTCCCATCTCCAAGTCCACTGATACTTTCTTCTGCAGCGTTTAATCTTCAGTGAAACCAGTGCAGTGAAGTTTTCATTTCAGACTGTATTTTGTAATTTTTAGAACTTCCATTTGGCTCTTTTTTTTTTTTATCCTCACCCAAGGATATTTTTCCTTTTTTTTTTTTAGTTGTTGTTGTTCAGATAGAGTGAGAAGGAGAGAGAGAGAGAGAGAGAGAGAGAGAGAGAGAGAGAGAAACATCGACATGAAAGGGACACATCAAGTGGCCGCCACCCACACCACCAACCAGGGCCAGGTACAAACTGCAACCGAGGCAGGTGCCCTTAGTGGGAACCAAACCCAGGTCTCTCTGGACCGCAGGCCTACATTCTAACCACTGAGGCAAACTGGCCAGGTCCCATTTGGCTCTTTTTTATAGTTACCTTTTATATATTGATACTTTGTGTCTGTTCTTTGATTGTGTTCATGTTTTCCTTTACATTCTTTAACATAGTTATGATAGCTGTCTTAAAGCTTTGTCTCCTTGTTCCATCATCATTCTCATTTCTGGGTCTACTTCTGTTGACTACTTTTCTTCTCCTCACGGGTGACCAGTACTGCTGCTTCACCGCACCAAATACTTTTTCATTATATGCTGGACACTATGAGTATTCTGTTGAATATTGTTGACAAACAGTTAATTGATCCTTTGGAGGCTTGGGTTTAAGTTTTTTGTTAGGGCATACTGAGAGTATTTTTCATGGATTTTTTTCCCTTTCTTTTTGATTAAATACTGGGAGTGGAAGTACATGGTGCCAGGATCAGCAGGGGTCACCTTGCTGAGAACTGGGGAAAGGTGTCCCAGGTGGCCTTCCGGTCTGCACTCACACCAGCAGTGCGTGACCTCCTTGCGGCTCTGCATCCCTGCCCACCTGTGGTGTGCTCAGTCCTTTTTCTGTTAGCCTCCCAGCAGTAAGCAGTGATGTCCCGTTGTGGCCTTAATTTGCATGACAGATTATGTTGAGCACATCCATTTCACGTGCTTTTCTGTTTGGCTTTTGCCTGTTTTAAAACTGGGTTGTTGATCTTTTGATTGCATTGTAGAAAATCATCCTTCTGGACACATGTCTTTTGTTAGACAGATGCACTGCAGACACTGTCTCCGGTCTGCGTCGACTCCCGATGGCCTTGGCAACGCGCTGGGACGGATGAAGTCCATGCTGTCCATATTTTATGTGCATTTGTTGCCTTCTGCATTCTGTCTGGGAAATCTTTGCCTACCCCAAATTACAATTGTACAGAGATTTGCTTTCTTCTAGACACTTCCTGGTCTTCACTGTTACGGGTGGCTCTGTGCTGCATCTTGAATGGTTCAGGTTTGTGGTGGGAGGCGGGGCAGTTCTGTTCTTTCGCCTCTGCTGATTTCAGCACTTCTGTGGAGAGTGCTGTCCTTCTCCCTCAGGGCCTTTGCTGCCTCGGCTGAGAAGCTATCGCTTGAACAGTAGGGACCTAGTTTCTGACCCTGTCTTCTTTCCAGTCAGTCTGTCTGTCTGTACTCCAACACCACACGGTCTCGGCTCCAAGAGCTTCCCGCTAAGTCCTGAGGTGTGGCGGTAGCAATCCTTCGCTCGTTCCTTTCCCGAGATGGCTTAGGTGGCTCTGGGTCATCTGAACACGAGATGCTCACCTCTGGGCCTCAACTGAATGCTTTTCTCCTGGCTAGCCACCCTCCTTTCCTCCCTAAAGTCTTGTTCACAGGCCACGTCACCATGAAGCTCTCCCCAGACCACCCTATCTGAGTTGTGACCTTTCCCCCAGGACTGGGGGCTCCCCGGGCGTGGCTTCTGTCTTGTCTCCAGCACTGTGCCTAGCAGTCTAGATGCTCAGTAGACACTGACTGCGGCTGGGAGGCGAGCCCCACGCTCCCTTTCTCCCCGCCTGCCTGGCGCCCCTCCCCCCGGTGCTGGGCGCCCCCCCCCCCCCCGGTGCTGGGCTGTCGGGCTCACCGTGAGCCCCATGTAGTCCACCATGCACTTCAGAAGCAAGAAGATGGACTGCACCGCGCGCTGGCGCTCGTGGCTCTGGTCCGACTTCAGCCAGGGCTCTGTGTGCTGGGATGGAGGGAGGAGAGCCTGAGGGACCGCACGGCCCCACTGACCACCTCGCCGCCCAGCGCACATTTGGCCTGGGCAGGCTGCTCTGGCTGGGAGATGGGAGGGGTGCTGTATCTGGTCCTGAGCCAGCAGACAGCTCACCTTTTCCTGCCCTGCCTGTCAGCTCAGCACTCTTGGGTGAGGCTGGTCTGGGGCCACGTGACAGCCCCCAGAATGCTCAGGGAGCTGTGGAGACTAGCAGTGTCTGGCAGAACCCTGGGCTTGCTTCAGTGGCCTTGGGGCTCTGACAGCTGTGGGGCGGATGGAGAGGGAAGCAGGGTGTTGGAGGAGAGAGCAGCTCCAGGCTGTGCGGGAGCCTGCAGACCGTTTCTGAGACTGTTTCTGCCCCTGCAGACACTGGAAGGTGAGGTCAGTGGACCACCCCTCTCCTCGCAGGGTCCTTGGCTCTTCTGAAACTCCCAGCAGAGCCTCTTGGAGAGGTGACAGTCCCAGGACACTGGGTCGGGATGTAGGACAAGCCTGCCAACCTGACACCCACCCTGAGGGGGGCCTGCAGAGTCCAAGGCCGGAGTTCTGCATCCCGCACTGCCCCCCCTCACCTGCAGCAGGAAGCAGACCTCGTCCATGCTCTTGTTCTCAGAAATGAAGGTCTGGAGAAGCAGGTTGAGTGCCTCCGTGGACTTCTGGTACAGCACCTACGGGGGCAGGCGGCCACCTGGTGTCACATGCCAGAGGGTAGCCTGCCAGTCCCGCTGTGGCCAACACCTCATTCATTTCTTACAAGGTGCCCGGGGATCCGTCCCAAGTGAGGGCTTGGCCACTCCTCCCTGCAGGGTGCTGAATGGCTAGTGAGAACGTCCACCCCAGGCCCAGCCCTGGTAGGGGAGCACAGGCTTCCCAGACATGTATCCCTCCTACCACTTCGGTGTCCCACAGGTCTCTTCTGCTGCTCATGTCCTTAAACACTTCTGTCTCTCAAGGGTTAGTTCTGTTCCTTCTCACCCTCTTGGTTCTCCCCGGGGACATGTTTTGGCAGAGACCCCCAGATATTCAGAACTCTGGCCCAAAGCCACGCACAGACCTGCTGCCCCATACTCACCATGATGGTGGATGGCAGACTAGCACAGCACTTGGCGCTAGGAGTCACTCAGTGGTTATTGAATAAATAAATATGTTAATTGTATGGTGCTGCAGATTGTGGGGATGACTGTGGCATGCACTCAATAAATGCTGGTCCGGTGAATGAATCTTGTTCTCTGCATAACAGCCCTATAACCTGCCCCCTCGGCTGTCTAAGTTCAGAGAAGATTATATATGCCATAAATGCTAATGAGAACAGTGAATACAATTGTCACCCTTTTAGTGATAATTCATTAGCCACAAATCTACTCTCTCCTTCAGTGGATATTCATTGAGCACATATGATACACCTCGCCTGTGGGGAGGGGTACAGTAGGAAACAGGCCTCGATCCTGACCATGAGAAGCTCCCAGTCTCATTGGAGAGAGGCAAGAAGAGCACATTGTAAAAATCTAAGAGTAAAAGTAAAGGTCTAAACAACTTTGAGATTGTGTGTTGCTACTTAAGTGCCCTGGAAAAGGAGAGTCATCAGAGAGATGGTGGAGAGCCACTTTTCTCTGATCCAAGGGTGACTGAGGGCTCGTCACAGACACACAGATCCTGCCCTCTCCTCCCACCCCCTTTCATTCTCCAATTTGTTAAATTGCTGCTGGAAGCCAAGGCAGCTGGAGTTCACAGGACAGAGACCTGGAGAGGAGAGAGATGCATGGAGAGGACTCTAGGAACCTACAGAGGGGTCCCCTCGAGTCTTCAGCTGAGTTCTGCTCGGTGTGTGGGTGCGGAGGAGCCTCTCAAAGCCAGAGAAACTGCAACCGAGAGGACTGGAGAGGAACAACCCCAGACCTTGAATGCTGGGACTAGTTCCTGTTCACACCAGCCCTTGTAGGAAACCTCATAATTCATGAGCATGAGGTACTCAGAAGGGGGCATACTGAGCTCTAGCATTAATGCTGCTCTGGTGCCCCTAACAACATTTTAAAGCAAGATCTGGAAAGGATCTGGTGCCCCTAACAACGTTTTAAAGCAAGATCTGGAAAGGATCAGAGTATTTACAAGTAACTTAACCATGTACCATAATGAAATCCGGGAATAATTATAGGAATACAGAAACACCCGAACCCAACACATTCTCATGTACAATGCACCCGAACCCAACACACTCTCATGTACAATGCTTGACGTCTGTTCAAATGAGATGCAAAGAAACAGGAAAAGAATGGCCCATAATGAAAGAGCAATACCAATCAATCTAAACCCATAAATGATACAAAGAATAAGCTGATAGACAAGTCAATTCTGCCATTCATCTCTTTGTGAAGTTGAAGATATAGCAAAAAAATTATCCAATATGAAATGCAGAATGAAAAAAATAAACGGAACATTGGTGATCAGTGGAACAACTTCAGCCTAAAATACGTGTATTAGGGTATCCAAGAAGCAGGTGGAGGGTAACAAAAAAATATGTGAAGAAATAATGGGCAAAATTTTTCCAAATGATGAAAAGTCTAAACACACACAGTTCCAAGAAGTTTAACAATGGCCTAGCACAAGAAGTGAAGAAAATTACGCCAAGGCATATCATAATTGACTTGCTTAGAAAATGTTAAAAAAAAAAAAAGAAAAAGAGAAAGAAAAGAAAGACCTGTTATATTTACATAGAAAAGCAAAGATAAGAAATATAGCAGATATTTGCATGAAACTATGTGAGTGAGAAGACAGTGGGTCCCAAGTTTAAAATACTAAAACAAACCAAAAAAAAAAAAGAATCTTTCAACCTACAATTCTATATCCAGTGAAACTACCTTTCATAAACAAAAGCTAAAGACCTTTTTGGACATCCGAAAGCCAAGTGCTAGAATGATATGAACTATTACCAAACATCCTCTAGGCGAAGGACATTGATGCAGCATGGGAACGTGAGCTGACATGAAGGAACAAGAGCTCCAGGAATGGCCGCTTATTGGTGAATATGGGACCCTTTTTTTGTTATTTTGTAAATCTCATTAAAAGATAACTGGCTCTGCCCTGCCAGTGTGGCTCAGCGGATTGGGCGTCATCCCGTGGACTGCGAGATCCTGGTTCAATTCCTGGTCAGGGCACATGTCTGGGTTGTGGGCTTGATCCCCAGTGGTGGCGGCAGCACCTGGGATGCACTATGACAGGCAAGGACGTCTACTGTGAGCCCTAAAACAACTAGTAAAATAGCAAAGAGCTCTGTCTAGTCCAGAAAAGCAGATACAATGGAACCATAAAGAAGTTCAGTTCATTGAAAAGAAGGCAAAAAAGAGGAACAAAGAGTTGATGGGACAACTAGGAAGCAAACTGAGGTGGTGGAGGGAGGCCGTGCATGTTAGCACTGGCCAGGAGACAGCTGGGCCAGATACGTCAGTATCAGACAGGCAGACGTCAGAGCAAAGAGCGGTACCAGCAGTAAAGACGGTCATTTCATGGTGGTGCTGGGGTCCGTTCATCAGGACATAGGATCCTGAGCATTGATGAGCCAACTCACAGTCAGAGTAGAGGAAGCAGCAGCCGGTGGAGCTGCGGCGGACAGGGACCATCCATGGCTACAGGAATGTGCCCGCCCTCTCGTCACTGAGGGAGAGCGGGCAGAGTGGGGAGCGTCTGGGCCATTCGAACAGCACCGCCAGGCAGCTTTACCTGACCCACGTGCGTGAGCAGCCGGGGCCAGGCGAGTGCAGAGGGTGTGCGCCAGCACAGCCCTGCCCTGGGCCAACACACTGGAGAAGATTCATGCTGCCCCAAGTATTTCCTCTCACAAGAATGGAATTAGATCAGAAAGCACCTCTAAATAACCCAGAGAGCAAAGGAAACATCAAGACTGGGTGAAATGGAACATATCAAAACTGATCGTCTCTGCAGACGTGGCGAAAGCACTGGATAGAATCTGACACCCAGCCTGATCGACACTCTAAACACACGAGTAACCGCAGGGACTTTCTCAGCCCAAAAAGAGCATCCGCAGGCCCACGACGGACCGCTGCCAGCAGCCACGTGAGGGTCAGGGCGGGACGCGGGATGGGCGTCTGCTGTCCCCTCGCAGTCGCTGTGCCTAGGTCCAGCAGGCGCAGGAGGGCAGAAAGGCATCCAGCCTGGCAAGGAGGGAGGGAACTCCTTTGGTCACGGAAGGCACCTATCAAGTCTACAGAATCTACAAAAACTACAGAAAGCTAAGTAAGTTCAGCAAGGTCGCCAGAAGGTACAAGATCAATATACCAAAATCAGTTGTACTCATATACTCCAGCAGTGGACGATGGGAACTACAATTTTAAATATCATTGGCAATATCATTAAAAATGTGAAATTCAGCCCTGGCCGGTTTGGCTCAGCGGTTAGAGCGTCGGCCCGCAGACCAGAGTTCTGGGTTTGATTCCGGTCAAGGTCACATACCTTGGTTGCAGTTTGGTCCTGGCCCTGGTTGGGGTCGTGCAGGAGGCAACCAGTCAATGTGTCTCTCTCACATTGATCTCCACCCCCCCCCCAACTCTATCTGAATCAATCAAAAATATCCTCTGGTATGGATTTTTTTGTTTAAAAAACAAATTTATAGAAAAGCATCTGACAAAAGATGGGCAGAGCGTGTACCCCGACAACTGAGGCAGAGGGAGCTGACGCTGGGAGGATGAGAGCTCACAGATCACGCCCCAAACAGTATCACAGTGTCAGTCACCCCCAAATCCATGTACACTACACAATCCCAGTGGAAGTCCGAGCGTGCTGAGGGGTAGACGCTGACCAGCTGATCCTACAAGTCACGTGAACACGCGAAGGCCCTAGGACAGTGACACGGTTTGGAACAGGGCGATCAGAGTTGGGGAGTTGGGGTTAAGAGCTCTGGCCTCTGCTCCCCTCACTCGCATACGTGGCACGGGCTTGACAGATTGCTCAGCATCCAGAACCCACCACCCAGAAAGACAGGATGGCCCCAGGGACAGGGCGTCACCATGACGTCTGGGGCCGACTCTAGTGAAGGTGAGCATCTCTTCATTGTCTCCATGGGTGGGAGCTGGTACAGGCTCTGGAAGCAGGTCTGCAGGATCCTGGACTTGACCATGGGCTTGAGGCTGGGCCTCAGGCTGCTGGGAGAGACGCAGAGAAGACCTTGGACTTCGCACAGCCCAGCACCCGGGGTGGGAGGCCTGGCTGTGACCAGTCCCAGCAAGGAGAGGCCCGTGCCACTGGAACCTGGGCGGGGGTCTGGACTTTAAAAAGGCCTTAGGGCCCAGCTAGTGTGGCTTCGTGGACTGAGCATCGTCCCGTGGACTGAGAGGTCCCGGTTCAATTCCCAGTCAGGACACAGGCCTGGGTAGCGGGCTCGATCCCCAGGAGGGCGCATGCAGGAGGCAGCCGGTTGGTGTTTCTCACGTTGATGTTTCTGTCTCTCTCCTCCTCTCTCTCTCTAAAAAGTCAATAAAAATATATTTTTTAAAAAAGGCCTTAGGCTCTGGCTTGGGCTGGGCGTGGGGTGGGGAACACAGCCCCTTGGGGCCCGGAGAGGCTGTCCCAGCCCTTCCACTCACTCTCTCAGATTCTTCAATATTTGCTGGTGAGAAAATGTAGGGATGACTCTGGGGTCATGGTCAGTACTGAGTGAGAGTGTGTCCAGTCTGTGGGAAGGGCCAGGCCTCAGCCTGCAGCTCGGGCTCAGTCTGTGCCAATGTCAACAACCTCTCATGGACAAGAAACAGAGTAAGTCTGTCCCTGCGGAATGTAGCCCCGCCTTCAGCTTGCCCAGCACCATTGTGGTCCCTGGTGCCAGCCCCCCCACTCTGGCCCTTCTACCCCCTCATCCCCTCACACACAGACCCTCGCCCCGCACTCGAAGGACCTGGCCTGGCTTTGCTCCTGGGACCGGGGGGAGTTACCTGAGCCCTGCAATGACCGAGATGACCTTGGGCCGGAAGAGGGTGGCCAGGCAGTTGGGCTCCTCCTGAAGGGTGCACTGGGGGCAGCGTGGGAGCAGGTGTTGGAGGCGGCCCTGCCCACTCAGCCTCCTGGTCCCCCTGCTGGGCGGCAGGGCCCTGGGCTCGCTCACCAGCAGACCTTGGATCAGCTCTGGAATCTGAGTGAACTTGTAGCTCTGGGTGCTGCTCTCCCACCTGAGCACCTTCGTGAGCATGGCAGCCGCCGAAAGGAAGCTCCTGTTCAGGGCCGTGTCCTGTCCGCGCAGAGGGACAGACGGCAGTCAGGGAGCCGGCGGGGTACACGACAGCCCGCCACGGCCCAGAGCGCACCCGCGGGGCGGCTCACGTGGCTGCTGCGGGAGTAGTAGTACACCATCCTGGAGATGATGTTGTCCACCCAGGGCAGGATCTGGCCACCGGCGTGCAGGGCCATCTGCCCGTAGCAGAGCAGGGAGGTGCTGCTCACCCAGTTCCCGTGCGCGCTGGGGTCCGGATGCTGCGGGCAGGAGGGCGGGGCAGAGCCTGGACTCTTTGGGAGTCCAGGTCGTGGGCGCAGGCCCAGGTCGTGGTCCTAGGTCCCGTGCCAGCCCCTCCTTCGGGCAGCACCCTCCTCCGAGTGTCTACGGCTCCTTGGCTCCTCCAGCGAGGTGCCTGGGGTGGGCTGGCTGGCACACGAAGCCGCTCGGCCCATCCCAAGTGCACAGGTGGGGCGACGGCCCGGGCCCTCACACCGCTCAAGGGCGGACCTGAGCCTGGGTGGAGGCTGGCCCTAGGCCTGGGGTCCGGGGACGAGGCTCCCCTCTGCGTGGCCATGGCAAGGACAGAGAAGGCGTGAGTCCCACACTGCAGCCCCTCGGGGAGAGGTCCGGACCGGGATGACCCCTTTGTTGCCAGTGAGCAAACTGAGCCTCAGGCAGGCAAGTGAGACTCTCCAGGCCACCAGCCCTCCTGTCCCCACTCACCTCTCCTACCTGGCTGTCTGGAGGTGTGCAGGAGGACCTCAGGACCCTGGTGTGGCCCAGCTGCTCCATCATGGCCCACACCACCTCCATGTGGGAGGCGGCCGTGATGCCAATGGCCAGCGCGATGCCCTGCAGGCCAGGGGACCCTGTGAGCCAGTCCGAAGCATCAGTGCCCACGTGGCCCACTCTCTCCTGCCCACCCCTCCCAAGGGCCCTGCAAAGGCAGGCGGGGAGCCCACCCCGCCCTGAAGAGTATGCGCCCGGGGTCTGCCAGGCCAGGACGGAGCCGGGGCACTGCACCGACAGGTCCCTAGGTTACGGCAGGTCAGCGCCGGTCCTGGTGGACCCCATGATTATTGACAACGTGCAGGGTGCTGGAGGGCCGCCGAGTCGCATGAAGGGTGGGAGGACCCTGGGCCGAGAAGCAGAGAGGTCGGCGGCCCCCTGAGGGGCTGTGTGAGCCCTGGGGCCGGGCCCCGGGCGGCCGACCCACCGAGCGCTGGCTGGGTGACTGGAGGGACAGCTGGAGGAGCACAGCCAGGTGCTTCTTCACCAGGTCCGCGCTGGCGAACTCCCTGAGCGTCAGCCCGTAGAAGCGGAAGAGGAAGGTCTGGGGGAGAGGGCAGCTGTCGGCACCGGGAGGGCAGTGGTGACGGCCGTGCGGCTGGCGCCTGGCCCAGGCCCACTGTCTGCGAGGCTGGGGCGTGTGGGGAACCCTGCGTGGCTTCGTGCTGGTCCTGGGGCTCCAGCTTTGTGACCCCGAATCCAGGGCCTCAGTCTTCCCCCAAATCCCTCAGCCCCCAGGGCTGAGCCCCACCGGCTCTGTGGCCCCTGGGCACACCCGCGCCACCCCAGGGGCTGCCCGTGGCCTGGCCTGCACTTCCCACCCGCTCCCCTCGGGCGCACCCCAACCACACTTCATGTGGGCACAGGAGGCCAACTCAGAATCTTCTAGAACCCCCCTTTATTTTCTCCTCATGAAATGTGTACTCTGGGCAACACGCCTGGCTGGATGGAGCGTGTTTCCCAGTCGCTTGCTGAAGTCACCCTTGCGGGTCCCCGTGCTAGAGGGTGAGGCCCGTGAGGCCAGGCACTGCTGTCCTGGCCACCGCCCACTGCCACATCCCTGGGCCCGGCCAGCCAGTGGCCAGTGCTCAGGACACCTGTGCTGAGCGAGGAACAGGGCTGGCACCCCTGAGGCCACCGTGCCCGCTGGCTGGCCCATCTGATCAGGGCCGAGGTCCTGGAGCAGCCCCAGCAGAAGCAGAGCCTCCGCATGCCCATGGCACCCCTCATGCCTTTCTGACACTTTCCGGGCACATGGAGCTGCAGGTAATGTCAGTCCCTTGGGGAGGGGCAGGGGCTGAGTGGTCACAGCCTGCCCAGGCTCTCCAGCCCCAGGAGGCCCCTCCCAGGTACTGACCTTCTCCAGAGGCTGCTTGAGGCCCAGGTTCAAGGACCCCAGGAGCTCCTGGGTGCTGACATCTGGCACCTCCCCCGCCTTCGTGGTGCGCTGTGGGCAGACAGAGCACCATGCTCGAGCCCGTGGCTCCAGCAGGCCGGCGGGTCAGAGCCACAGGACAGACAGGGCCTGCAGGGCTCACTCTAGGTGTGAGTCTGGCCACGCTTACCTCTGCTTGAACCCGAGCACCCCCACCCCTATAACAGAGACTGCATCCCTTGACCTGGCTGGTGAGCCCATGATGCCTGGCCCCTCCGGCATCTTCCGAGAGCACTCCCACCCTTCCGTGCTGCGTCTCGCTGACCTCAGGGCCTTAGCACAGGCTGTGCCCACTGGCTGGACAGCTCTCCTTTTACGTGCCTGGGTCGGCTGTGGGCCAGGCTGAGCATGTGCTTGGGGATTGTCTCCCTCTGTAAGCACACGTGCTCTGCTGTGGCTTCTCCCCCTCGGTCCTGTCAGCCCGGACCCCCAGAGAATCTGAAGCAGGGATATGGAGGAGAGGGGCCAGCCTCTGCCCCACCCAGAGCTCCACCACCTTCCACTGGACAGGGCTGCAGCAACGCACGGTGGAGGGGGCATCGGGAGGAGCTGGGCTGGGTCCCCCACGCAGGTTGGACAGCAATCACAGGAGGGCCCTCACGGGTCCAGGCTTCTTGGGGTGCAGCGGTGGGCTGGACACCACCAGGTCCTCTAGAGCCCCTGAGGCCTCAGGGGTGGAGCAAGGTGTGTCCAGCTCCCTATGGCACTCAGGCCCACGCCTGGCGGATGGGCACCTGTAGTGGCGTCTTAGCACCAAACGGAGGGGTCTGTGTGGCCCACTGGCCCCTCCACACACATGCTGGAAGGTCAGGGGCCTTAGGGACAGCAGAGGCTGGTGGGAGCCCCTGGGACCCCTGGAGCAGCAGAGAGCAGTGGGGTGAGGACCCCCAGGGTCCCACCTGGTTCTGGTCCTGGATGCATTGGCGGATGGCCTCCAGCAACAGCCTCTTCTCAATGACTGACATGGCTGCGATTTTGCCAACAAGTGCTTTCTCCCAGGATGGGCTCTTAGTCGGGGGCTCACCCACGGTCCGCTGACCTGGGAAGTCTGCGGGGCACAAAAGCAGAGGGGCAGGGCCCGCCCCCTGCAGCCGCGCGGGAGGAGCGCAGAGGGGAGGCCCAGGCCGCCCAGCCCCTGTCCTGCCGCACCCCCAGTTCACAGCCGCCCAAGCCGCTTCCTGCACAGGTGTCTGCAGGGTGGAGGGACCAGGGAGTCTGCACGCACAGAGGGCGGGCGTGGCGCTGGCGCTGGGCCCAGTCGGGAGGCTCGGTGAGTGGCAGAGCAGTGTCCCGGGACAGCGTCCGGAACCGCCCGGGAGAATTCGGGCCAAGGACTTGCTCATCGTCTGCAACGAACTCAACCTGTTCCTACCCCACTCCCCACACCCACGTGAACAGCAGGTGTTTACGTCTGAATTTCCAACTGTCGGTGGACCGAGCCGACCGCGGGCAGTCAGGCCTGTGAACCCCGCGGGAAGGCTGTGACTGCGGCACCAGGATGGACGCCACGGGAAGACCCTCTCGGGGTCAGTGACCTGGACAGGGAGCTCTGTCACAGTGACACTTCCACAGGCAGAATACTCCTTGATGAGGAAGTGGAGGCTGCAGAGCCAGCAGTTCCCTGGGTCAGGCGCAGCGTGGGTCGGGGCCCAGCGTGGGTCGGGCGCAGCGTGGGTCGGGCGCAGCGTGGGTCGGGCGCAGCGTGGGTCGGGGCGCAGCGTGGGTCGGGGCGCAGCGTGGGTCGGGCGCAGCGTGGGTCGGGGCGCAGCGGGGGTCGGGCGCAGCGGGGGTCGGGCGCAGCGTGGGTCAGGGCCCAGCGTGGGTCAGGGCGCAGCGTGGGTCGGGGCGCAGCGTGGGTCAGGGCGCAGCGTGGGCCGGGCGCAGCGTGGGTCAGGGCGCAGCGTGGGTCGGGCGCAGCGTGGGTCGGGCGCAGCGTGGGTCGGGGCGCAGCGTGGGTCGGGGCGCAGCGTGGGTCGGGCGCAGCGTGGGTCGGGGCGCAGCGTGGGTCGGGCGCAGCGTGGGTCGGGCGCAGCGTGGGTCGGGCTCAGCGTGGGTCGGGCGCAGCGTGGGTCAGGGCGCAGCGTGGGTCGGGCGCAGCGTGGGTCAGGGCGCAGCGTGGGTCAGGGCGCAGCGTGGGTCGGGCGCAGCGTGGGTCGGGCGCAGCGTGGGCCCCGCCCCGGCTCTCTGCCTCCAGAGAGGTGGCTGCCCAGCCTGCACGGACCAGATGGGCGCCTGTGAGCAGCCCAGCGAGCCCACCCCCGAGCCAGTGGCAGCCCAGACAAGGCGCTTGCGACCTCGGTGAGGCTTTGAGGGGCCGCCTGTGGCACTGGACCCCCCACAGCACCCCGCGCGGCGGGCACTCCCGGGCTCTGTGCCCCAGGCGGGGCGGGCGGTGCCCAGGCAGCTCTGGACCCTGAGTTCTCGGAACGGGGATGGTTCTGACCTTCATCGTGCTGAAAGTGGGGTGCAGGCGCATGAGGCCACCGCCGCACCCCTCAGCTGTCCCGTGAGGCAGAGGGCGGCGCTCTCCCTCCCCCTCCCCCTCTCTCTCATCAGGGCCCTTCCAGAAGTTTCCGTCTGCCTGCTGCCCCACACGTGTCAGGAGAGACCCCAGAGGGGAGGGTGTCCCTCTGCCTGGCAGACAAGTCCCACCCCCGTCGCCGGGAAACAAAGGCCCCAGAGGAGGGGCCTGCTCAGAGCCAGGGCTGGGCTGCGGCCCAGGCAGCTCCGTGGGCTGAGGAGGCTCCGCTGGCCCTGCTCACCAATGTCCAGCTCCTCATCCTCCTCCTCGTCGTCGTCGTTGTCCTCCTCCTCCTGCTCCTTCTGCTCCTCCTCCTTCTCCTCCTCCTGCTGCTCCTCCTCCTTCTCCTCCTCCTGCTGCTCCTCCTTCTCTTCCTCCTTCTGGGGTTCACAGGCACTTGGACCTTCAGTGTGGACGGCGGAAGCCATCCCTGGATGCGGCTACCACCCGGGGCGACGCCTCTTGGGACGGGGACCCAGGACAGTGTCACTCAACTGCTCAAGCACGGGCCAGACCACACCAGGCCCCCACCTCTGTCAGTCACCCCAAACCTCACCAGACCCCACGATCAGTCACGCAGCTCCAGCGGCTCCCTGCATGGCCTGGGAAAGGAGGAAGGACCAGGCTTTTCCAGTCCCCCACCCCCACCCCGACCAGCTGTCTGCTGCCTGGGGCTCCCCTTCCTGCTGCCCGCACACCCCTGCTCTCCCTTCACCCCAACCTGCTGACCCTCGCTCTGCCCTCCCACCCAGACCCACCTAGGGCTCCCTTTGCACCCCAACATCGGGTGCCTGAGCTGCTCCCTGGGCTGTGAGCTCCAGCAGGGAAGGGGCCCCTAAAGCCTGGGCCGGAGAAAGGCCTGGAAGACTCGGATTTGCCCTAAGTCAGGGGAGAGGCTGGGGCCTCGTAGGACAGCCCTGCACCGCTGAGGACGGCCGTACCGGGGCGAGTTCCAGTACGACAGCCCCCGGAGGGGGTGCGGCTCGGACCCCGCAGCGCACGCCAGCCGGCAAGAACCCACTCCTGGAAATGCCGTCTGTGGGGAAAATGAGAACTGATAAAGATTCA